AGCAAGGACGCTACTAGGGGCTCCTGGCCGTACTACTAGGAGCAAGAAGGCTACTAGGGGCCCCTGGCCGTACTACTAGGAGCAAGAAGGCTACTAGGGGCTCCTGGCCGTACTAGGAGCAAGTATAGTAACACTACTTCTATACAGATCCGATGTCATCAGCAGTTCAACCGGTTCTTCGTTCAAAAACGCCTCCAGGAACTGGGAGATGAGGTGCGCGCAAGGGGCTCCGGTGAACGGGGATCGGTGAAGGTGTCATGAAGAGGGCGGGTGTTCTTGGCCACGTTTTGTAAAGAGACATGATCCGCTGTGTCCCTGAGCACAAGAAGCGACATCAAGATTGAGTATGACCGCACCACACCCCAAAAAGAATGGCATCAGGCCAAGACATCGCAAACTCCTGTGAACCTGGGTCCTTTGTGTGAACTCGCGAACAGGAAGTTCTTCAGTGTCTTTTTTTCGTCCAATTTCAGATCTCCTCCCATGTTCTGTACTTTTGCCGTGCCTTCCTTTCGCTCCCCTGGGATCGCCCGTCGCCCTTCGACCGGTTCGCCCGACGCGACGCGGCGTGGAGGTGGGATATCAGATCCGCTTCATCAACAAGTTCTGCGAGTCGACCCGCTCCTGGGACCGGTCTTCGTGTCGGGAGTTGGGAGGGATCGAGCGGACGAAAACATGGAGCGGAGGAGAAGAGGTGCCTTCTATGGGCGGTCCGTTTTTCACGGGTGGTTGGCAGAGGTTGGCAGCAAGATATTTCCCCAAACAGTGTGAATAGAGGTTAAGCGCCGGGGTTAGATCGAGGTGACGGCGTGGGCGTGGACGGCTAATTCGCTGCTATTTACAGTCTCTCGAAAGCGTCGACGTGCATTTCGACTGCGCAGGCTCGCAAAATCTGCGTGGGCGCGGCGGTTGCTTAGCGACTGCGCTCTCGTTGTGGTGCCGCGCGCATTTTCGGACATGCAGATTTCGTGGTAGGCGCAGCACTTTGTGAACCTCGAAGTGCAGATTTCGTGGCAGGCGAAGCACTTGGCGCACCTCGAAGTGCACACTCACACTCGCACTCACACTCACTCACTCCCACTCACACTCACTCGCTCCCACTCACACTCACTCACCCGCAATCACTCTCACTCACGCTCTCACTCACACTCACATTCACAGTCACAGTCATATTCACATTCACACTCACTTTCGCTCTCGCTCTCACCTTCTCACCCTCTCACTCTCTCACTCACAGACACTCACAAACACTCACATTCACACTCACTTTTTCACTCTCACTCTCTCACTCTCAAGATATACCTTTGCAGGTTTTGGATGCAGCTGGACAGTGCCCCAAGTCCAAAAGCCTACTTACTTGGTGCTACAGCCACATGCCACAAATATGCGCATTAGATTTAGGACCCCTCCGGGAAGGAAAGATTTGTTGGAACTTCTGCGTTGCCGCAAAGCCAGAACCTTGTTTGCAAACAAACATTCAGCAATACTTGCACAACCTCAAGCCATAGACCTGAACAATGTCTAGTCGCCCAAGCGCACAAAAATTGTCTTCAATCCAGGTTTCACAAGCGATCGGTTTGCGGATAGTGTTTTTGCCGCTAGGGATGGCATCGATGCTAGTTAGGTCAACCTTCCGAGACATCGTTGGATTCACGAACCTACTCTAAGAAGATGTTCTCGTATAGTTGATGTATAGCTCCGAGAAGTTCCTCATGCTGGCACCCCCCAGCTCCCGCACACTGGCGCCAGCGTCACGAAGCTATTGGGCGCCATGCCCATCACAACCCACAGACAAAGCCTGAAATTCGCGCAAACCGGGCGATTCCTCAGAGTCGCACAGGCAGGCAAGTGAGGCAGGCTATGTTATTCATACGAATCCCAGACAAAAAGCCTCGAGGTAGTCGACCATATATGTCTTCCAGGTAAGTCCTTCTTGCCACCAACTTTTGAAAAATAGAAGGATTCCTCATCGTATTGCGAAGTACAAGATGTATCTTAACCTATCCTCAAAGCAAAATGTTAGCAAACTTCCGGAAAAACTGTACTTCCTGAATTTAAGATTTCTCCTGTTCCGTCCCCTACCCACGGCTCGGACACAGCACTTCCCTCGAGTTTGATTTTTCCGCTCGACTTGTGAAAAACTGTTCGCGAGGAAGCGATGAGGAAGCCGCCGAAGCAGGTGGCGTGCCAAGTGCTACAGCTGACCGCCGCTCGGAGGGAAGTCCTAAACTTCATACATGCCTTGCCGGGTTTCAAAACGATTGATAGTGTCATCCCCATTGTAGTTTATTCTACACGATGGGGCAGCTTGAGGCCACTACGCAGACGAATTTTGTGACGCGCCAGTTTCTGGCACCTGCAGAATCGCATTTTGTACAGTGTTAAATCATACATCTGTGTTCAGATCTATGTGATCAACCAAAAGAAAAAAGGTGAAGGTCAGGGATCACTTACTGTAGACTTTGAGCGTTTTGTTTCCCATTCATGTCAGCCAACCAAAAAGAGGGCCAGGTAGAGTGAACAAAATAGTTGAATTGTTGATAAAGCAATCATGTTCCTTCAATGTGCACACATCCAACAGTTTGGTGTACAACCTGGTTATGACCAATAGTTTCCCCTACAAAATGGCAACCTTTGGCCTGTGAAGCAACATTCACATGATTGAGTCATATTGAATCTGAACTTGACATCTCATCCTGTTTGCCCAAGGACTTTAGATGACTGCGGATAAGCCCCTTCCACCTCTGAAAGCCCCGCCAAGGACCGTGGGCTAGTGGCTCGGGCAATCTGGGTTCGAGCGACGACAGCTCGCCTCGCGCGCGGGCCCCAGAGATATATGGGTGGCTGGCTCCAAAGTCGGATTCTTTGGAGTTGCTTGTGCCAAGTCCGTCCGATCTTGGCGGCGGGTCAAAAAGTCACGATGAAAAAATGATGATGATCCCAATGAAAAAAAGATGACCAACACGAAAACAAAATGATAATAAAAAGTCACGGTGAAAAAAGGATGATGATCCCAATGAAAAGATGATGACCAAAAATGAAAACAAAAGGAAAACATAATTGTTTTGCAATTTACAATGTGTGGCTGGCTGCGTTGGCAGCTCAGGCCAAAGGTGCCGGTCAGCAACCTGGGTCCAATGGCAACTTGGAATATGCTTGACAAGTAAGTCACTGCCGCATAGCGGAATATTTCGCTTGAAAAGAAGTCACTGCTGCATAGACCTTTGGAGAAAAAGGTGCTTTTTGTGTTGATTTTCAAGACTCTGATGCAGGACCTGCGAGATTGTTGAAGTGCGGCGCATCCCATTGTCCCAGTTTTGGTTAAGAAAAGCTGCAACAAACCTCTCTCTCAAGCATGTAGACTTTGCAAGAGTTCTAGTTCTTTTTGGAAGAAAGGTTTCTTTCCTGGGGCGACTGGAGCTGGAGCCGCCTTCTAGCAAATGGAGGGTCGCTGGAACGGTCACCAGCCCTGTCCATTTTGTGATGTGAAAAAAATGGACAAGAGGCCTACACGAAACTGAATGACATCACGTGGCTGTCAAACCTGGACTTCGATCACTTGGATTGTGTGAACTGGTGGTTCACGAACCGTAAACCCCTTTGTCCTGCTGACCGATCTGGCGTTGTTGTGGACGTGCGGCGGCGAGCTAATGCCACACTGGGTGAACTAGGGTTCTGGGGCAATCCATCTCTAGCCTGGAAAATTTTCTTGTCTTCAGGAAACGGGAGAGAAGGTCCTGTTCACAGAGCAGGTTCACAATAAGAAAACCAGCATAGACCCCAAACAGTTTCAAAACGATTCGCTGGGACCACTATTAGTCAAACACGATTTCTTGGTACGCCCTACCTTCCCCCCCAAGAGCAAATTGCTTTATCAATGATTTTTGTCGGCATCGACATCGCTGATTGTTCGGCCGCAAGAGAAGACAAGAGAAGAGCAGGACAAGACCCGGTCACAGAGCGCGGCTACAGAGCCCAGCCACAGAGTTCAGGGGCGCGGCCAGTCAGTGTGGCCAGCTCTTATTTTCTAAGATAGAGCCCCAACAGTAAACAGTTTGGGGAACAAGAGGAGGACAAGACCCGGACACAGAGCCGGGCCACAGAGCCGGTCCACAGAGCCAGGCCGCAGAGGCCAGCCACAGAGTTCATGGGCGCGGCCAAGAGAAGGACAAGAGGAGCACAAGAGGTGGACAGGGCCCGGCCACAGAGCCAGGCCACAAAGTTGAGGGGCGCGACCAAAACAAGGACAAGAGAAAAACGAAACCCAAACACAGAGCCGGGCCACAGAGCCCAAACACAGAGTTCAGGGGCGCGGCCAGTGAGTGTGGCCAGCCTTTTTTCTAAGATAGAACCCGAACAGTAAACTGTTTGGGGAAAAATCGTGCTCAAACAGTCCCACGGGGTTTAGTTGAGTTCGAAAAGGGCTGCAGTGCCAGAATTTTGTTGGGATCGCCAGCCGACTGCGCTGAGGAATCTTTGCCAGTGGCTACAAGAGCAACCTCGGTTACAGTCAACGCTTCAGAAAGAGCAATTGCCTCCTTTGCGCTTTGCTCTCGCACCTGGCCTTACTCAGAAGTGTTGCGCAAACCTTTGATTGCTTATTTTGGACAGCCGTTATTTTGGGCTGCCTTTTCCTGTTCAACCCTTCATGTAACAAATCTGCAGCAAGAACGATTTCCATCTCCCGCTACATGGCTTTGAGTGATCGGTGGCCCCGTTTTCTGTCACTTGGCGTGAGTTCATCTAAAACCAACCATTCCAAACTGCAGTTGTGTATGTGTCATGGCTTTATGGAGCCATGCCCCCCAAGACATGGGAGCATGGAGTTCTTCCCTATCGAGCCAACATATTGGCAGCGGCCTGCCGGGCTCAGTGAACAGCAAGCTTTGGTCCCAGCTCGGCTTAGACTAGATTCGGGCCCACGTGACGCTTACTAAATTTTCAATGAGGACTGGGCTGTTCCACCCTGACCCCTCCAGTTTGTCCCGTACTTCCCCCCCGCAGATCTTCAACCAGCTGTTCGGCAACTCTGTGATTTCTCACCACTCACACTCACACGTGCACTCACTCTCACGCCCACTCACACCTCACACCTCACACTCACACTCACGCTCTCACACTCACTCTCACTCACACTCACACTCACAGTCACACTCACCACCGCCACCATCACCACGATCTTCACCTTCATCGCCACCGTCACCTCTCTCTAGACTTTCTGCTGCTAGACCTCTAGACCTCACACACACTCTGTTTGGGGTCTCTTGCCGGGATAAATTTTTGAGGAGAGGTATAGGTAGAGATGGAACATGATGGGTCCGAAGTGCGTAGCTTTGTGGCTTTGAGGATGGTGGAAGGAAGACTGGGCAGGGTTTGCGCCACATGGGGACGACTGGCAGGGAGAGTGGATGTATAGTGTGGAAGAGGTTGTGTTTGTTTGACGTTCCACCGTAAATTGAGAGCAACTCAAACCAAGAGGATCCTTTTGGACCCTTCCCAATGAGTCATTTCAAACCATCGATCCAATTGATCCATCCGCATCCATCCATTCCGCACCGTGGAATCACTCCAAGTCGACCTCATCACGTCGGCCTCGTCGGTGCGGTGCTTGCCCTCATCGGTCTCCGCGCGGACCGCGCGCTCGGTCTGACCCGAAGGCTTGATCTACGCCACCACGGCGATCGTGCTGCGGCGCTTGCACAGCGAACCGACCTTGGACCCGGGGGAGCGAGCGGAGCGGGTCAGTGGGGGAGGTTATTGTGGGTCAGCGAAGACTGGTTGGGCCAGACGATGTCAAAACATGAAACTGCTAAGAGATCAACAAACATTTGGAACCTGGAAACCACAAGTCATTGAGTTAACATGTATATTCTATGTTGTTCACCGATCATGATCATGCACACACCGTCCTGGTATTCGTGAGGAGCCTTGCAGGCAGACACCCAATGATGCTTTAGTGCACAGATGGTTCATCAACCAAATCCATATATCTACTTAGTTTTTTTTTTCATTTTTTGACTTTGACATGGACAGCGCGATGACACCATCTCATTTTTTTTTCAGCTGACTTGGGGTGGCCCTGTGTTTGACAGAAACATATTCCTCCGAATCTCAGCTGCGAGGGTCCTTTCTGAAACACACCAAGGCCGTCCCTCCCTCAGATGGAAAACCAGGACCCACTGTTTGGTTGGAAGATATTTGCGTCCCCTGGTCCCTGAGGAGCACTTCGAACCCAACGATCGAGGCTTCAGGTCCGGCCCCTGGCCATGTCTCGTGTGCAGGACAGCATCGGCTGCCTGATCATCGACGAAGTACACGAGCGAGATGTGTCTCGTCGGAGCGATACTGGCAGAAACCCGATGGACGAAGTCCGTTTCGGTCGAATCGATGGGGGATGTGTCTGGATGAATCGAGGGTGAAACGCGGTCTTTGAAACGAGGCTTTTGAGATGGTGAAAGGCGGACACACCTTTCTTGATACATCCAATCATCAATAAACATGGTCAGTAACATGGTCATATGGTGTTTGAGTTCAAAAAAAAAAGAAAGTCATTCTTCTCCCTATGATTAGATCCTATAGATGCATGGGGGTCACCGGTGTGATGTGTGAAGGCCAAGTCCCTGAAAAACCAAGCCTGGCAGGACCATGTGGCCTGGTAGGACCTTGTCCCGTGAACTTCTCCCACCTCCTTCCCTCCGATGTCTGACGCCATCCCCCAAACACCCGGTCTCGAAAAACGGCACGGGCTCGACCCTCCAAAAACCACACGAGTTTATCCCAAGTTCAGCTCACTTATAGTGGTACCATAGTCGGATCACCTTATCGTCCGCACCATTTGCTCCCAGCTCCAGCAAACTCTATCACTTGCAAAAGCCACGCCACGCGGCGACGCGCGGCGCGTCGCGAGGTGTACACGGACTTTTTGCTGCTGCTCTTGAAGGAAGCCATGCTGAATGGTCGAATGCCGCACCTCAAGGCGAAGAGCTCATATACTTTGGCGTTTTTGGCTGCTTCGTCAGCCTAGAAAGCCAGAGATTTGCTATAAGGGTAGAACATATAGGTTTTCGTGTGAGCCCCATGCCTTTTCTTTATTAAACTCATTGACTCAACCCTGTAAAAGTGAGCTCCAGACTCCAAGCGGTTCCACAGTTGCGATGACACAACCCTTCCGTCCTTTTCATGGTTTTGCTTTCATGTTTTGTTTTCACCCTTTCCCCGGGAAATCATGGTAAATCCCCGGTGAAGATGTTTTGTTCCTGGTTCCTTCCGCAACCCACTCTGCCACGAACCACGTCCCCCGGTTCTTCACCCGGTTCTTCGAGCTCGTCCTGCTCGTCTCCGGCAGGTGGTGTTGATGAGTGCCACCGTGAAGGCCGAGGACTTCGCCAACTACTTCGGCCAGGTCAACGGCCAAACGGCCCTGAAGCCGGTGCGGGAGCACGGAGCAGCCGGTCCCGCGACGGAGCCCGCGGAGAAACGGGAGCAGCCGGTGTTGTGTCGTTGATTCGGTCTTTTGGAGCGTTTCGGTGCTGGGTACAAGGCATCACCATGGAGGAACGGTGTTTCTATAGTTTTCTTTTTTTTTGGGAACATGTAGTCAGTGTAGTCGATGTGACGCTGTGAGGTCTGAGGGTCGGGAAGAGAGTGTGGGAGGGGGGGAGGTTGGATCGAAGCGCCTGCTGCTGCTGTAGCGCTTCGCTGTAGCTTCGATTCCGGGAGTGTCATGGTTTTTCGCACGTGTCAGATCTACCAAGACTCCCGGTTCGGAGGGGTTTTCCGGGAAACCGGCGGAAGGTGGGAAGGTGGTGAAGTGTCACCGGCGATTCTGGTGGTGGTGGAAGGGGATCGAAGTGCCGGTGAGGTGAAGATTCCTGGAAGGATGTTCCCAGTGGAAGACTTCTACTTCGAGGACCGGACATGCCTCGTTTGGCTGTGGAGTCCCCCCTTTTGACCCCCCCCAGTTTGTTGTGCGGGGCCAGCTGGGCCAGCTCCCATGTTTGTTCATCCTTTAATTAAAGTGAGTACAGAGAGTACGCATATCGTGATCATACATGCACTTCATTGGCAGATGCTTCAGATTTCGGTAGACGAGGTGATATTGATTGTTCCAACGTGTCACTAAAGATGCTACGCACGAACCTTTCGCCGCGAAGCTTTGACACCTGAACCTTCGCTAGAGATCCACCCGGCACTTCGCCACACGCCACGCCGTCTGGCAACGCTTCCCACCGTAGGACGCTTGTGAATGGGTGGGCTTTTGTCCAGCGGACAAGGGTGCTGGCAAGGGCAAGGGGAAGAAGGGCCGTGAGGGCCGCGATGAAGGCGTCGACTGTGGCCGTGTGGGCGACGGGCCGGCCGTGTGCCGCGGCGAAGGCGGCGAACGAACACGACGAGTTGAAATCGGGCTTCGAAAGCAACTATTGAAGGCCCTGAAATCATTCAAGGTTCGTTCAGGAATGTTAATGCTTATAGAAGTCGATTCTCGGCTGATTATTCAAGACTTCTCAGCAATCACCTTTTGCCCAAACCTGTCCACGCAAGAGACCTCATCCGTCACTTTGGCTCAGACGACGGCCATTTTGGCTGCCACACCTGAAGACGCAACCCACGCAATAGCCGTGTGACGCGACAGCGCCCTGCATCAGAAGCCATGCCCAGCCCCAAGATGGCCAAGACCAAAACCGCCCAAGAGCAGATCACCATGATCACGTCCTCCAAAGATTTGACTGAGCAGTACAACGTGCTCCAAAGTTTGGGTGAAGGCAAGTTTGGGCAGGCGAGAAGATGCTTTTTGTCGTAACGAGCTGACAAGCTGCGGTTGGGGTCAAAAAGACGCGGGGATGCGGGGGGGAACATGGTTGTGGGATGGATATTATGAGTGTGAGAGAGGGTTAGCCAACCATTGGGTTTATAGACATCATGATGCAACTGATGATGATATTTTCTTTACACACCCAATGATGGCCACAGGTGAAAGAGGTGCAGCACAAGGTCAGCAAGAAGCGCTTTGCATGGAAGCGAGTTTGCCTGGAGAAGGACGCCGTCAGATCCACTGGATTGGTGACCGGAACCTGGTTCCACTGCGAATCACTAAACCTTGATTCAAGTCCCGACACTCCGTGCCCCGTGCATATCCAGAGCCTGCCTGAGACTGCATATATCCCAAAACACATGGTGTGTGTGTGTGTGTGTGTCCACTCCTGTTTCCAAGGACACTACCCTAGTTTTTCTAATCTACCCTACAAGCTTTTCTGTACAGAAGCAGGGGGCGACAGAGTCGCTGCATGGCTGTCGCCAACGAAGCTCCATGCAGTTGACTAGGATATCACGGCTGATCACCGTGACGTACCTGCAATTTAAATACTAACTTTGATGTTCAATCGCTGAGATTTCTAAGTCAGTGCAACGCTGTCTCATACGTTGTTTCCTGCAGTATCTAGATTTAAAGGGCTAATGCACACCGCGAAGCTACCTGAAATCACGCTCCACGGAGCAACCTTCTCAAGTGTGTCTTCGCAGCTTCTTCCCACTGTGGTGAGCTGTGTGATCCCTACGGGGCGCCGTTACCGCAAGAACCTGTTCACTCCTCACCGAGGGAGTAAGTTTCCTGAATTTTCTCTGAAGTCCCTTAGACTGAATTTGACCTGCTCGAAATCAGCTTGGATCGTCTCACCCAGCACACGTGAAGATTACTGCAGAGTTCACTGAAATCCTTTCTGAATCCCACTGCAGAGTTAACTGAAAGAGTTTCACCCGGGAAATCCATTCATACCTTTCCAATCTTTTTAACCTTTCAAATCTTTTTAACCTTCCAAGTTTTAATTCCATTTTCCAGAATTTTAATTGCGGTTATTCAATACACTTCACAATTTTTACGACTTCACGGACCTTTATTTATTTATGTATTTATTTTCATACATACCTACATATTTTCACTGTCTTTGACCTGCCGAGCAGCCATGACGTATCCCTGGCCCTATTCTTTGCCGCCACACATCCATCCACAACCACAACCTACACAACCTCATTGGATTCAATTTCCACCACAGGCTTCACCACAACCTTTTTCAACACTGCCACCGACTCCACCGCAACACCCAACCTCACATCACTACCCAATGCCCATTACACCTCCACCTCACGCTCAATACATCCAATCACATCAACTTCAGGCACATTTTCCAGTGCAACCTACGGCTCCCTTCGACACTACCCAACTTGCGCAACAACATCCACATCTCACAACTCATTCACCACAATCCCAAGCTCACACACATCTTACATTGCCACTTCAGTCTCAATCTCAATCTCAACCACCACCTCATCAACTACATCAACCACATCTACCACATCTACCACATCAACTACCTCCATCACCACACACGACAAATCAAACCCCTGCCACAACATCTTTTCAACCACCACCACTACAAGCACCTGATGTACTACAAGCACCACCACCTGATCCAACAACAATCACTTCACAGCAGTTGACCACACCAACTCCACCACCACCACCTTACTCCTCACCAACCTCACCAGCGACTACTCAACCTGCTTCAGCAACCATCAACACACCCGCACAGCCACCACACCACATACCACGCACTACCAAGCCAACACCATCCATTGCACCCACACTCAGCACTACAAGAGGCATTTGGCGCGACCCAGATCGCTCACCACCACGCACACCTGAACACCACCGCTACTCAGCCTTTCCAGCCGTACCTTCCATTGCACCATCACAAGCTACATCCAGATCCAGGAGCCGCACTCGATCACTACGTACCACACGCTCTCCACTACCAAGACGTCGAAGCTCCGCCACACAATCCGTGGCTAGTTCTCATGATCAATCCAAACCTGCAGACAGACCAACATCACGATCACCAGCAATCACCCAAGACAAAGCTCACACTTCCATCCAAAACATCACTACAGCTGCTACTGCAAAACACACTCCAGAGCCACCTCGCCGTACTTCCAGCATTACACTCAAGCCCAACCCACATTTCACTCCCAAACACTCCACACAACAGACACCTCCACCACCACCACCAGCACCAATACCTGCAATTCCAGTCCAACGTCGACCTCACAACTTACCTCCTCCAACATTCCAACCACCCACTGATCCAGCACAATTGGAGGTCTTCCAATGGCTCAACCGCTACGCACAAGCACTTGATGTCAACAATGAACCCATGCTCTCCTACGTAGCCAAAGTGCTCAGTGCAGCTCATCTCAACAGCACCCACTTTACCGACCTACAACTTCTCACCCACAAAAAATGGTGCGATGACACCAACAAAGAAGAACATTATTCCTTCCTACTACTCACAATCCCCACATTAGCGAGCAGGGGCGACGCCCCGATTCTTCCTCCTACACGGAGAGAGGCGCTCAACATACCACCTATCAAACACATTTTTGCGGCACACGTGAGCGAGGAGGGCAACATCATTTCAATACTTGAAGCAGGAGAAATCGTGCGATCTATTCTGCATGATGCTCACAATGTGGGATATTTTTGTCAGGCATTCGAATTGTCGAACTACGAGCCCCATGATGCTGCTGAAGCTGCACGTGTCCTCTTCAATGCTTCCAACATGGCCAAGAACCGCAGCGGTCTCATTCTGACGATCAAAGCCTATGGACACGGCCAGAAAGTCACTCATGGTGGCGAATCCGCAGCGAATGACTTGCTGCTTAGAGGAGAGGGGATTGTAAAATACACCCCAGGCAAATGCTGGGTGGCCCATCCCAAACATTCCAGAATCGAAGGGATAGCTTGGAAAAGCGATGCAAAGCCACCGCTCAGTTTCATTTAATTCAATCTATTCAGCTCACGAGGTTCATTTTTCACCCCGTATCTTGGATGACGACCTAGCCTCAAACAATCTCAGCCAGCCCGCTTGATATTGATATTGACTCTGATTTTCTCACACATCGTTGTCAACTTCCTTTTCTTCCGATATGTCATTCTTGTACAGATTGATGCCGACAACATGATCTTTACGGTGACTTTTCCAATTTTCCAATTTTCCAGACTTGCAGCATGTCAACTTTCCTGGTTGTTATCAACCTTTTTGAAGAGAGTCACAAGCATTTCGAAGAGAGTCGCAAGATTTCCTGTGATTTGCAACCTGCCCCGCAGCCATTTTGTATTATCTTGAATATTGAGCTCGATCCCTGACGACCAGCCGAGCTATATTTGCCTCCCGACGACTACCACGACGATGACTTCCCCTTTGGACACGGCATTTGCCCATCGGCTTCTCTTAGCACACCTTCAAGCAGCCACCTCCATTGCTACTACTTTTCACAACCTTCCACCATTTACACCGCAACTACCACAACAAGCACATCACCCACTCACTACCACTCCACCTTCCCCCCCAAGACCAGCCAGACACACTCCTCCTCCACTGCAACCACAGCCGTCTTTCTCACGCAGCCGCAGTCCGCCTCCCGCCAAAGGCAAACCATTCATGGAGTGCAAACCAGAACCTTCTCCTTCACATACGCCCACTTCACCACATCAGTTTTCACCACACCGCCACAAGTCCAAAGCGACTCACCAACACAAGAACAATACAGACTTCCAGCAACAGCGTACACCACCAATCACAACGATTTCTCTCACCAGTTCGCCCAATTCACCTCCACAAACATCACCAGTTCCACCGAATCCGCCACCTTTACCACCTGCATCACCAGTACCACCATCCAAACCAGCACACCTCCTCACGGATTCACCACACTATCCGGACAATGGAGGATGGGAACCCAGTGAAGATGAAAAACTTGCGGCCTTTAAACTCAACAAACGATCTCGCCCCAGTTGGAAATACATAGCAAAAGCACTCAACAAAACACCTTTTGACTGCAAAGGTCGATGGCAAGTCTTGCGAATTCTTTATACACCTCAACAGCCAGACAGTCCAGAAGCAGAAGCATCATCACCACACAAGGCATCTCAACAAGCAGAGGCAACTCCTCCAGCCACAAAAGATGCCAGTACGATGACTACAGAACCTCCGGATCTGACCGACAAAGAGACATAGAATACACAACAGCAGTCTATGATCGTCCAGACAGTGCTTTCCACGACTTCTTGGTGCTGAAGAACACCCTGAACTATTGATGCCTTTGTACGGTATTTTATTGTCAATTCGTACATATTTACATATTGGCTTATTGCTTTTGTCGTTCTAGCAGTTGCGAGCAATAGACTCCAACCCACAACACACCATTACAGCTTTCTTCCACACGCGCAGCAAAAAACAAGATTGGTCGCCAGCAGTGCACATTTTGCT